TTCTGTATTACGCACAGGGATGTTTCATCCTGTTAAAATCTAAACATGTGGTTGGAATGCCATTGTTGATGGTGAGCTGTGTATCAGGAATTGCAGGTACTGATAGGACATAAGATCAATAAGGAGGAAATCTGTGCAAAGTTGGAGATCAAACTCCTTAAATGCTGAGTCATTGCTCCCCTTCATCCATTAAGCAATTATTGATTGTTATTGATAAGGCATCCTGCCACCATCTCTCTAACGGCTATCAGATTGTCCTTTTTATTTCTATTTGCTTAATCAGTTGATCTGTTTTGTTTGAATGCTATGTGTATTCAGGTACAGAACCTTTAATTTTGTCCTTTTATTATTTTCACAGCCTCCACCCTTATCTGCTGATGCCTGCTTAGATTAGCACTCCCTAATCCTTCCTGTCAAGATCTGTTTATTGTTTTCCATATTAACTTTCACTTTTGCATTGTCTCTGCTTTTTGATTAACCAGAGTTTCATTATCTGATCCAATGATCCCATTATTTTGCTAAAGCCTTCTCTACTCCCCTTGTCTGTCTGACTTGCTGGAACATGAGCCCCAGCATGGTTTAGGTGCAGACTATCCCAATGATCCAGGCCCCGCTTTCCCCTGTACTGGCTCGAGTTCCACATGAATCAGAACCCACTTCTACCGTGTCAATCTATCAACCATGCATTCATTTCTCTAAACTTGTATGCCCTATATCAGTTTGCACATGGTTCATGGTATAATCTGGAGATTACTCCCTTTCAGATTCTGTTTCCTGATTTGTTTATATCCTCATACTGATTATACAGAACCCTTTTCCTTGTTGTGCCAGAGTCATTGGTAACCATATTGACCATGATGACTGGGTCCTCCCCCTTCTACTTTAACATCTCTCCAAACCTGAGCAGATGCCCTGAAACCTAGTACAACCTTTTGGATTATCAATGTTTATGGCAGAGAAAACTGTTAATTCCCCCTCACTGTATTGTCCTTTACTATCACTATTGCTTCCTATCAATTCTGCTTTCCCTGTTTGAATAGCTTGCCGTATCAGTGTCATGGTCAACAGTTTATCCACCCTGCAGCCTTCACTCGTATCCAGATAAAGCTTCAAACTTGGGTCATCTAATTATGGGTAATCTAATTGGGAATGTAAGATTACTGTGCAGTTGACCTTACAATACTGACAATTCCATGTGAAGGGAGCCCAGCCCCCACCCTGCAGGTCAATTTTGACTTTGGCTTTTGAGTGTAGGGGCAATCCCAGCTCACCATAGTTTAAACAACTCCTCTGAATTTCATTTTCATTGAAGTTGATAGGTGAGGCTGAGCACTCAAAGAAATGTCATCCAATTTGCACTGTCCGCCAAAGTCAAAATTGCACGCAGTTTATCCTTATCAAACAAATCAATATACACACATCTCATAAAACAAAGTCAGAAAGTTCATTCTGTAAGGCTCAGTCACAAAAAGAGATATATTAGCACAAATTTATATTTTTAAATTCATTCACAGGATGTGAGCTTTTTTGCCTGGATTAGGATTTATTACCTTCCCTAAGTACCTGGAGAGGGTGGTCCATTTTCTTGAACATCTGCAGTTCATATATGGAAAGTGCATAATTTGAAATAAGTACTGAAGAGTTTATTACAGCCATTGAACCATACTATAAGGCAGGATCAATCTAACAACTGATATTAGGGTCAAAATTATGTTATTGTTATCAAAGCAGTTGGTTTGTGCTCCTGTAACAATGGAACTAGAATTTGGGTTTTTAGGAAACAATTTATACACAATCATACATTTGTTGAAATTACTTTATCAAAGTTACTTTGTGGCAGTGGTGGACACTAAAATCAGATTCACAGCCACAAAGGAAGCCTTGGTGAGGCCTCACCTAGAATATTGTGTGCAGTTTTGGACCCTTTTTCTGAGGAAGGATGCTCTTGCTCTCAAGGGAGTGCAGCAAAGGCTTGCCAGGCTGATTCCGGGGATGGTGGGTCTGATATATGAGGAGAGATTGACTGGGTTAGGATTGTTTTCTCTAGAGTTCAGACAAATGAGGGGGATCTCATAGTGACTTATAAAGTTCTAACAGGCCTGGACAGGGTAGATACAGGGTGGGTGTGTCCAGAACCAGGGGTCACAGTATGAGGATTTGGCGTGGGTGATTTAGGATGGAGATGAGGAAACATTTCTTCATTAAAAGAGTGGTGAGCCTGTGGAATTCGGTACCACAAGAAGTAGTTGATGCCAGAACATTGAATGTACTCAAGAGGCGACTAGATATAGCACTTGAGACGAATGGGATCAAAGGTTATGGGGAGAAAGCAGGATTAGGCTATTGAGTTGGATGATCAGCCACGATTGTGAAGAATGGTGGAGCAGGCTTGAAGGACCGAATGGACTTCTCCTGCTTCTATCTTCTAGGTTTCTATGTTTCTATAAATACTTCCATCAGTGTCAAAAGTGATTGTACATTATTCCCTAATACAAGTCAGCTGTCCTAAATGTGGGAATGCTATCAGTATGTACAGTGGCCAAAGTGGAATTTGTTAAGAGATGCATCTTAAGACTTTCATAATCTTTGGCCCCAGACTTACATGAGTTAATTCTTTACTCGAATGGCAATTCAGCATACTGTTACTGTGGAAGAGAATTTGTTGCATTAGAAAATAAGCAGTTCTAGCATCTGTTGTTGAACTACTTCTTTGCTTTCTCAGTTGTGGCAAGAGCTGATGCATTATTTCTCTCTCTTTCTTGTTTTCTGCACCAGTGTCAGTCCTCATAGCTTGGTTCATGGGAGGGCCCATCAGACTAACACTCTGATTTATGACTCTCCAAAATAGTTTTGATTCTTGATCATAATGAATACTGGATAGATAATAAAGGACTTGATTGGTGTGGATTATTGATGTAGAGATTTATGAAAAATAGATTACACATCACCATTTATGGAATTATTTTGTAGTCCAAAAAATGGTGAAACTCACTAGATGGCACGTAAATCACACCAACTCCAGGGTAAACTGTTAAACAAGTGAAAATCAGGCTATTGAAGTGAGTACAAGTTAATGTCCATTTTGTAGATGGTCAAACATCACTCACCTTAAGTCTAACAATGAACCAGCTCTGGATCCCTTCATTCCACATGCTTAGGTTTGATTCACAAAACAAGTTGAATGTACTATGAATCACAGCAGAGAGAAGCAACCCCATGTTCTTGTTAAAGAAACTTTGCCTCTAATCACAAGGTCCCAGAGTTCTGCATCTGACAGTGTATAAGCTTGTATCTTCCTCCAAAACTGGCATATGGATAAAATGCACTGGACATTGGGTGCTATTTGTTAGTGGAAGTGTAGTTTTTTTATGTACAAAAAATCTCGGTTGATTGTTCTGCAGTGCACACAAACAAAGCTGCAATTATAGTACAGAGATGACTAGCTCAGGCAGAATCCCGTAGTTAGGTGGTCATATTTCTTTTGTGAAAAGTTTCTTCCACAGATATATAAAGTGATCTTTTGCATTCTGTCTCTGAAGCTTAAAAAGTCCCACATGTTTAATATGAAATTATATGAATGCTTGTTTCACTGTGATGTACATAATTAAAGAAATGAGGTGGAGATTGGTACTACCTATCGCTATGTTTTTTCATTGTGTGCTGTTTTGACATGAATTTGTATTATGTCCATAATTGTATTTGTGTAACCTTTCTAATGATAGTATTGACTTGAATTTGCATCCATTCCACCTCCTTTATCGTAGCGTCCATCTCCTAGTTGTCAAGCAGTCAAGTTTCCTTCCACTGTAACACTCTACTACTGTGAGACAACTTACTTTCTTTACCTGTTGGTTATTTGCTCTCCTTATAGATGAAACCTTTGCAAACTATAAAACAGAATAGGCCTTGAGAAAATCTAGCGTGTCAATGGAATCAGATGTACACTTCGAGTTAAAACACCTGCTTAATTACAAGTATTCCCAACGTTTTAAGTCAAACACTGTACATTGGGCTGCCAGTGAATTTCAATCATATTCTCTGTGCTTATCCCAGCTCCAGCCTATAATAGCTGGTTCTATCTATCTTCAAAAATGAAAGTGCATGCTCAAGTATTCACTGACCACAGTGAAATCCCAAAGTTTATGGCCTTCTAGATTTGCTTTTATGGCTCATTGTATAAATTACAAGCCTGTAGCACAGAGGGTGTTTAATCTTTTCCAATATCTCTGTTTCTTTGAAACATGACATTTTCAATATTGTGGAATAATATGTTCTATTCATACTTGTTTTTAAGAAAATCATTTGTATTAGAAGTTGCATTTTTCTTTACAACAAGTTAGTTATTTGTGCGTGAATTCTGTATTAGTTACGTACAGTACTCATTGCCATGGTAACGTGTTGTAAGACATTTTAGCACAGTTGTATACTAAGGTCTGTGCAATTAGCAAGACAACTAGTGGAACAAAAACATTGGTTTAAAAAAAGTGAGCAAAAAAAAATCAGAAAATGTTGTGTAGATAGAGTACTGTTGCAAGTCAGCAGCAGCCAGTGGGCTACGACTGAACAGTAAGCTACTTTCAAGAATTGAGTAGCTGCCAACATATAAGTCCCTAATATATGATAATGTTATGATGCTACCAGTGTTATGATAGGTGTGGAGATATTAGTCCACACTCTGAAAATACCTAGTTTCATTATGAAAACAGCAGGACCAAATAACACTGTCTTCAGTTTTGTTTTTAGTTTTTCTTAATCTCATGCACTATTGACAGGAAACATCAGATATAAAAAAGAATCTGGTTTCTAACCAAGTTCATCAGACAGGCCTCAGTATCTGTATCCAAAGGAAAGCTGTACCTTAGTCATCATTATCTACTATTTATGTCAAGCTTCACGATGTATGTCAGAGAATGGTTTCATCAGTAGATGTTATTTTTATGTTGTAATTTATGGTTCTGTGCAACTGCTCTTGGAAATAAATTATTGGCTTTATCAGACTGTGGGTTTACATTTGTGTCTTTGTTTATTTTACACACAACAGTATAACGTTGCATTTTACAGAGTGAGCTACATCAAGGCAGGCTGATCACCAGCGTATAGATAATTTACAATTATCATAAAACAAGGTAAAAGTACAAGAATCTCTGATGCTTTGCCCAATTTGAGGATGTTTATAAAGTTGGAGTTATCTATGTTATAGTTTCTGGGAAGCCATAACAGTGAAATTAGTCACAATCCTGAGTTAGTATCTTTGACTGAAGAAGAAGAACAAGAGAGTTACATTAATACTTGCCAAGAGATGTTCTGTTTCATCAATGATTAACCTCTGGTAATCAAATTTCACTTGCATTGTGTTGAATTAATGCATGTTAGATTTATAACCAAATGAAGCTGCTAGAACAGATATTTTCAGCCAACTGCTGGCTCTATAGAATGTGTATTCAGCCCTCGAAAGACAAAAAAAGTGTGGTCCTTAAACTACTTATAGCTATGCTTGCAATACAAAATCTCAATGATACTTTGTTTTAAATAGGCATATGATGTTCATAAACGTAGCCTATACGCTAAGGAAATGACAAATACCTCCGTGGACATGTTACAGAAAATGACTTTTTTCTGTAATGTAAATTCTATCTGACCCACACAGGAAATATTCTTCGATAACTCCCAATATTGACTTGGAGATCCTTGACTTCAAATGCCAGTCCTTGTGAATTTTTACCTCCAGCTTGCCTTTTGCCAAGTTCATTGATGTAACAGAGAAAAAAAAAACTTTCACTAAAATATTTCTCGAATACTTCCTGTTGGGACACACAAGCAGGGCTAATTGAGGAATTTCACAACTTGTGAAACAGAAATCTTATAACAGTCAAGTATCTTGCACAGGCAATAATAGGAGATCATTTTGCCAATCCAGGTACCTTGATACTTTCCTGTTTGATCATTCATGAACTAAGTATCAGCAAACAGCCACTTTTGATATCTACAAACATTTACATTAATTTGGGTATGGCTCCCATTTAGATTAACTCCAAATTCCCAGTGGCCTTGTTTCTCCATAAAGTTTCCTGGTTATACATTTCCTGCTCATTCTTGCCTCAACCTCTGCCCACTTTATGTCCTTCCAACATTTTAGCAGCTTTGACAGCTGCTTCATGAAGCCTCAGATCTTTTCCCTGCATCTTCCTTATCTCAATCTTCCTCACCTCCTTCCCTATTTTCAAAACTTGCCTAAAAACCTTGCAGCTGTTATTTGTTTTGTTTTTGCCACCTGCTCCCCTCTCTTGCCTAGTGTCTACTTGTTAAGGGCTCTGATTTGTGTACTGTACTTCAGAGCTACCAGAATGATAAGGTACTTTTTAAATCTGATCTCACAGATGTCTGATGCGTGAAAACCTCTCAATCAATTGAGAATGAGCACAATTGAACAATAAGGTAGACCAAACATACACAATGGTACATGAGTCACCAGGTCAAAGTGAATATTCCTTGAGGAAACGAGTTAATTTGCAGTTAACAATATGGTGGTGTACAATAACATCCCACAATCTAGTAAAAATCACTTCTTTTGGCACTAAAAGCCCAGTTCTATAGTAACGTGACAACCCTTAGTTTCTCTAGCCTCTTAGATATATGTGGTCACAATCCAAATATTGAAATATTAAATATGAAAATAAAATTTATCCAGTGGCTGCAGAGAAATTTTAATATTATACCTGAAAATATTTAAGGATTGCAGGACCTGCTTAATTTCCGTTTTTTTTCTATTATGTATGTTGCTAAGCTAGATATTCTGAACAGTTCTCAGTCGCCAAGTTTATAACTATACACATGATGTCTTGAAATTATTACATTTACCAGTTAAATGGTTGAAAAAATGGTCGTTACTTAAGAGTAAAACGAATGGAGCACTTTTAGAATTTGAGAGAAGAAAGCATATTATTTCTTACTTTATCCCATTGTAAAATTGTAATAAAGTTCACGGTTTAATTTTGTGATGGAATGAGTTCAACAGTCACCTCGTTTGTGAAGAACACGAAAGCTGAAATGAGTGATAAAAATCGATCAGTGAAGTTGAGGACGGATACACGGTCAGCAGTAGATCCTACAGATTGGCATAAATAGCTTCTTCCGGACAAACCATTTCCCTGGAATTTGGTCGGTCGTAGACATCAAGATTTGCATAGCTGTTTGGATTGGCTCTCCTTTGCTGTTTGTAAAGAGTGCTATTAGAATTGCAATGCAGACAATCACACATTACCTAAACTGTTTAAATTTATTTATTTATTAAAGCAAACAAATGAATAGTTGGTTCCCCTTTTAAAGAATGTCAGCATGCTCAAAAAAAAATGCGGTCGAGAGACAAAGTCAAATTGAAAATTAACAGTAAGCCTTACCTGGTTCACTTAATTTACTCTTTTTTTCTGAGAGAGAATTTATTACCATAATAATGATGAAATAATTTGGTGGGATAATTTATCAGGACACTTTTGTCAACATTTTGTCCACACAGTTCAAAGATGCTATCCATTCATCTGGTGAAATGTACAAGCACATTGCAGGGACAGCTTTCTGGAAAATAACACTGGGAAACCTACGTGATTTTATCCCATTACCCTGCTCTGAGGTCAAAAATTGTACATTTATTTCCACCACTATCTGAACTAACTCAAGGTTTGGACATAGGTAGCCCACCCTTAAGCAACTGAACTGGCAGGAGAATTGTGCCTAATTACTTTGAAAAAATACAAAATTAAAGGGGCTGACCATTGTCACCCACTGTTTTCTTTTACATGAATTAAACATATGTTGTTCTTTATCAATTATAATCTGAGTTTTGGAGTAAATAACCCCTATCTTTTGTAGCTTACATTTCAGTAGACAGGGGCATTTCTACGAAGTAATGGAAGCAAGTTTTGTGCTCATTCAAGGTACAACATTAAACATTTGAAACTATTTCAAAGCAGAGTGAAAATCCTTCTATTCAGCAATGTATTCTAGCCCAATCTTACTAGAAGGCTCAATCTTTTCATTCTTGGCATCAGTGTGCGCAATGTACTTTCTTCCAATTCCTGACGTAACCTAGGAAAGTAAAGTCACCATATTCCTTCTGCGCCATAGGCTACTCTCTCTCATTAGAGAGACAGCTGGTGGTGGTTTAACCTGAGGGTCATCATGCTTCATGCAAGGGAGAGGTTGAGGAGGAAAATCCTTCATGGTAATCTCAACCAGTGTGGGAATTGAACCAATTGCTATTGGCTTCATTCTGCATTGCAAGCCAGCCGTCCAGCCAACTGACCTAACCAAAGATGTGTTGAATACAGACTAAGAAAAGCTTTTTTTTTTCTTTTACTCACATTAACAATCAATGATAAAAGGACACATGCAACTAGGAAACCTCATTCCACCAATTTATGTTATCCTTCAGAAGAAAAAAAACCTTGAAGGAAAGTTGACTGAAATACCAGCTTTATAACCATTCCCTTGAACCTTTGATAACTTCTTGTGGAACAAAATCAAACCTTACCACAACCATTACTTACCAAACCAATGACATATCTGGCTCTTTGTTTAAAGAAGCTAAGCAGTTATCAAGAAAGCAACAGCTATCTTGGGGAGTTTATTTTATAAATTAGTTATGGGTGCAGACCACAAAATAGAACTGATATGCATTGCACAGGCCTGAGTATTGCTGAAGAATCAGGTACATTTTGTTTAAACTTTTCATCTTGCACTTATCAGGACATTTTACCAATTTTAATTTCTCAATACCCTGATAAGTGCAAGATGAAAAACGTAAAATGTGTTTCATTTTCAGCGGTACTCAAGAATAGAACTGAATATCATATCCAAGATTGTCCATAAATGTTGATTCCATCAGGAGTGTGTGGGAGCACACACTATTATGGAATAGACTAGTGTAAAAGCCAATTTAAAAGCATCGCTGGTGCCTGACTGGCTGTACCTGCCAAAGACGTCAAGTCCACCCACTCGTTGGGGGGGATTTCTCATGCTTCCCCTTACCCACCTCCAATATGGTCCTGTTAACTCCATGACTTGAATGTACCGTTAACTTTCAGTATACTCTTCTGCAGGTTGCTCACTTAGTACAATTGCTACCACTGATACATGAGGGTCTGATCATTCCCAAATGGTGTGTGGTATCTTAGTCCCAATCCCAGTTCTTAGCCATTATTTTCCCTTAAAGAATGCACAAAAGTTCAGCCCTTTTCAACAGGAGTAGGATGATTCTATGCTTGGGTCCTCAGTTTTGCACACATTGTTCAGATTTTCATTTAAATTTTGGATCATCATTTGTAAGACATGGTTTAATGTTGGAGACTAGACAGAGGCTCCTTAATTTAATTGAAAATTTTTACAAAGTATGGTGAAAAGATATTAATTCTGTCAGTCAGCATTGGATTTCAATCCAGGTCTTAAAAGCGGAGGGACAATATTTGAATCCGGTCTACCTTCCAGTTCCCATCATTGGATGTAGCAGAAAAGGTTGAATTGGAAGTCAAAGGGAGCAGATTGGTGTTTCTGCCTATAATGCAGTGTTTCTCTTCATCACTTAATGCATCAAGCAGCTCGAACTGCACTGATCATCTATGATTTCTAAGTTGATAATGTCCCATTGTTAGATTTAAATTCACAGTTATTTAGTTTAAATCACAACAAAGGTTGTCTTACGTTATTTCTTTCAGTGGTGCCTTTTTGGAACTGTTTTTTGTTCGCTTTCTGTTTCTTGCTCCTGTGGAAAAGAATAATGTACTTTACTATGACTCGGGTTAATCATTTCAGTAATCTATTCACTATGCACAGGTTGTGTAGATCACAGAATACATACCTCCACACACATATTATGGTAACAACACTGATGACCAATACAAGGCTTCCCAAAGCAATTGCGCCAAAAATTAGAAGCATTTTTATGTCTGGAACTGAACAAGAAAAAATAATTAGCATTATAACATATTAATTTTAAATGGTGGTGGGTATTACTTGACATCCTACCTAACTGTTTGCAGCATTAATGTTCTGCTTATTAATATTTTGAGCTTCAATTACTTTGTTCTTGTGAATCATATAAACTATCTATAATTTGCTTTGGTTTTCCCACCTCCTGCTGCAACAATCAAATTGTAATTGTTCAGAAGTTATTGTAAAAATTGGCCTGTGGAAGAACATATTGATGTGGCTGTGGACCATATCCCTCTACTAGATGTTGAATAGGGCTGTGCTATGCAATGCTGGATGTGAAAATCAACCACTAAGAAGGAAAACACTTTAAAAATGTATTTCAGCAAATCTGACAGGCAGGATTTTACTGCAGGTTTCGGACTCCAATGTTGGAACCAACCCCACACCCACCTTCCAACAGGTGCACTGGCTTGGCAGTATTATTGGCAGCTAACTCCACTAGTTGGCCTCCTAATTGTCCAACTCTGTTCTCAACATCCTATTAAGGACAGCAGATGGGCTCTCATTGTTGCCAACCCAACAAGAAGCCCAGCATACCCAGGGTATGAGCAGCCCCTGCAGCGAATGGTAAGCACTTTCAAGATAGGTCTAAGACCTTGTAGTGGTAAAATGACATATCTTAATTGGGAAGATCGGGTCCTGGATCAGAAAGGAAATGCCTTCAGATGAATCACTAGGGCTAGCAGGGTCATCCATCCCTGCCCTTAATCTCTTTGTTGAGGCCTAGAGTCTCCAGCTCTGATAGTCTGCCACACTGCTGCAAGGAAGCCACCTCTAGGGAATGGTGGCCTCCCAAATGTGGTGGGAGAACTAACTCATTGCCAACAAAAATGCAGTGTGCTCATAAGTAACCCCCATTTGTGGCCTTAAGCATTTAAATTAGCTATCTGTCTCTTTGGAATAGACAGTCAACCTAAATTCCTGTCAAACTCTAGGAAAACTCCTCAGTAGTGAGAATGCAAGGGGAATCATTCTAATGTAGCTTCTCTTCTATTTTCCCAGCACATCCCACCTCCACACCTACTACCACATATTCAAGAATGTTCTGCTCAAAGCCAAGCTCTGCCTTTCAGAACGAGAGGTGCATAACATTCTTTCAACATCAAATCCATTTCTTCCATTCCAATGCTGTAATCCTTTCTCATTAAAAAGATGGACTATGCTCACTTATTGAATTCCAGGCCTGACCAACTGACTGACAGGAATCAGCCACATTTGAGGCATTTTGAGAAATGCTTTAATTTATCGGTGCACACTGTCAGTGTTGGTCTAGACAGTATTTATTTTGCAAGACAGAAGACCATTGTAGGGGTAATTCTGAGATCTTGCCTTCTTGCTGGGGACTCTCATACACAGAGATCATGGATTGGAAAATCAAGGTCCTGGGAGAGGTATCATAGTACGTAGGCCCATCTCTAACTCCACCTTGGCAGTGAAGAATAGTCCTTTTTTCATGAACAAACCTGTGTAAGCCATGATGCACTTCCTGCATTCACAATATGGGCAGGTAATCTGCTCCAAAACCTCAAGCAATGCCACTCTTCAGAGAATAATTCAGAGGCACATTAACAATGGCTGAACAATGATTTGCCTTTCAGCTTTTCCTGAATTCTGGCAAATCTCTGGTCTCTCCACTAAAATTAGGAGGCCAGCCAAACCTAAGGGTATACAACTGAAACTGTGAAGTTGTTCCAATTTGCAAAATCCATCACTGCAGCTCTATGAGCCAGATACTTATGTTATCTTCCAGTTTGATACTTAGGCATGAGACAAAGTATAAACCAAGGGAAGACCCAGTAAACACAAGAATGATCACTTTTTTAAGTGTAAATTTGGGAAATCCACAGAAATGGCATGAATTTAGGAAATGAGCATAAAGTACACTATTGCTCAATAATGAAAGAGACAAAAGGATTTGACAGAGGTTTCACAGAATTGGCATGCAAGATTGAAGAAATTTGGACTTGCTTCAAATGTCCTCAGTGCTCTGCATCAAAAGTCAGCATCACACTGTCCTAAAGCTGTCTTTCAATGCAAGTTCCTTGAGACGGTGCCCTAAAAGTCAGCAATGAAGTGACTGGTTTTCAAAGCAATGCCTGAGGAAATGCCCAGTTATTCTGATAGCTTGAATGAACTTTGGCATATGTAATCGGCTGTTGTCAAATGACTGGACAATATGATCTAACTATTCTGTCAGGGCATTTGTGTAGCCCTCTTTAGCAATTTACATTTGCCTGATGAGAATACAAATTAAGCAAAGTAGGATCCTAACTCAGGTTTCTTCAACACTAATCAAAAAACAGATGAATATCATACAGCAAGTTGTGACATCAGAGTGTGATAGTTTATTGAACTTAATTTAAGTGTTTGTAATGTAAAGTATGTGTTTTTGCTTTAAGGAGCAACATTGCAGTTAGTAATTAATATTTTCAGTTGTCATATGCACCAGTATGAGTGATAATGCATTGACCACATGCTACATCTGCTCCTTCACTGCTGCTGTGAATTACCAAGTTCCATAATATAAAGAAAATTGTCTGAAAGGCTTCTGTTGTTATTCATTGGCTCCCTTCCAAAACTTGGACTGAATTTAAAAAGCTGGGAATGATAATTTTAGGAAAAGTAAGGACCATTTCATCCAAGAACCCTGCTCTCATTTCCATTGATCTCATCATAACCTTCCATCTTTGCATTATTTCTCTATATTGTTCTTTTCTTCAGAAAGACGACTTCAACTAATATTTCCTTTCATTGACCATGCATGTGGCTGTTCAGTCAACAGCATTTTCTCAAAAAACACCAGCAGGTGCAATTTCCCTATTCACAAACCATTTACCAGATTCCCAAACACTCTTTCCACATCACTGAGATTCACAGGTACTTCCTCCAAACTGGCACATGCTTGTTACTCCATGCAATGCAATATCCTTTATACTTTGCTAGCTATATAAAGACCTACTCACAGAATGTTAGCTGTCTATTGTAATTGTAGTCAGACATTTGTGCTCTTGAACCGGTAACTTATTATTCTGTTTTCCTGTCTATGGACAAATAGATTAATTGACTTAATTTTAATCTTTCAAGCTCCGATGAAAGTTCACTATCCAAGACATTAATTCCTCTTCTCTTTATAGATTCTGAGATGTGTTCTTCCAGTGTTTTCTAGTTAATTACCTTGTTTGGTTAAATGGTATTCCCTGGTAATATTTGTGGCTTATCCTCTTAATGAAAAAATGTTCCTTCTAAATTCTCCCTTAACTCCCATTTTTAGAATCACATATTGACATTTTTTTGTATGCGTCCACACTTGCAATCTGGCAATGACATTGATGCATTAGGGGAAATGTAGTAAAGGTTTACAAGATTGTTACCAGAATTAAGATTGGATGCTACAGTCGTGGACTTTTCAGCTTGCTCGGGCTCTTTCTTCTGGAAAAGGGAAAACTATGAGGGAATCTGATACAGCTTTGTAAAATTATGAAAGGTTTGGTTGAGTGGGTGTTGAGAAACTTTTTCCACTTATGGGTGGAATTTCTTTACTCAGAGAACTTTCATCAGAGAGTGGTTAGAATGTGGAACCTTTTACCATACTCAGTAGTTGAGGTGAATAACATGGTGGGGCAGAGAAGTATTTACAGGAAAAAGAAAGAAAGAAAATGATATACTGACATATGAAAGAGGCAGGAACCAAGGCTCATTTGGAGTATAAACAACAGTTTAAAACTGTTTAACCACATGGCTGTATTTGTGTATTATAAATATCATTTAATTCCATTTTGCAATTGTGCATGAATAGATAACCACTAACAGATCAAATATAAATTAACAAGAATTTCATTATGGAGAGTATGGTGAGAATGTTGAGTACAGAGTTTTGGTGCATTTAAATGTGGACTTGATGAGGATAGAGGAATAGGGGAGTAGTGACGGTGCAGTGTTAGAGGAGATAATTGGAGTGAGATGAATCTCTTGAGTACTGCCGTTAAACGGTTGCACTGAATGGCCTGCTTCTGTGAGGGAGATTCCATGTTAATTTATGCTTTCATCCTATTAGAGCACTCGCTGTTATTACAGAAAAATAAGCCTATGAGAAGAGCTTTTTTTAATATAGAATATAGCTGCTCATTTACTGTCCTTTAGACATGACTTGCCAATATGATGCACAACAGATTTTGATCTTTTCTGTCAAGTTGGATATTATATTCAAACAAAATGGAGTCTAATTTAATTTGCAAGCTGCATTTTCCCAACATACAACAGTACTGATGACAGAGTGATGCAAAACATTTTATATCACTGTCTAAACTATATTGGTAGGAATGTCTCTCTGCCGAGGACTCACCTGCTTTGGCTGGGTGGTTCTGTGCTTCAGTAAGGGTGGCATGATTTCTTGGTGGTGGGAGATCTGACTGTTCTTGTATAAAAGGAAACAGTGGAACTGATAACTATTTTATCCAAAAATGATCGGCCTCCTTATAGGCCAGAACAGTTCAAGTATACATTCCGGAAGAATTAACGCAGAAGACACAAAGTTTGGTTGGTTCAATCATTTTTCTTTAAAATTTGATTAAGCTGCCTGTAAAAAATTAACTACAATGTCAGTGCCAATCCATCTCTCACCTCCAACAAATGTTGTACAAGATTTCCTTTCAAATAAAATATCATTAAACTCAAACTATGTCAGTGGAAATATTGTACAAGTGGTCAGATGACCTTATTAGATTCAAGCAAAGGCAGCAAGATTGAAAAAAAGATAGGATCTCATTGAGACAACCAAATTAATCTTAAAAGTTAAAACACATAGTTATATCTACAGTGAAGCACTTTACTAGATCAAAACAAAACAAAAAGGTCATATTTCTCAGTGAGAGCTACTGTAAAATATATACGACTGCGTTAATTTGCTTGAATTTCCTGCTGTTAGTGACTTGTCTTGTTCCAAGCGTGGTTGTGACACGTTCCACCCTTACCACAATCTGAGGTTACTTGGCCCTGTTCAGTCTAACCATATTTCATTCTTACACTGCATACTTATTTTCCAACTACTTCTATCTCACATAAATAGCTTGATGTCGGTTTCCACATACAGACCACTTATCTTACAAACTGAAACGTGCATGATCATTAACTCTCTGTCACCCTGAATGTTACCCAAATCTAACAAATCAGCCTGATCACAGGGAACTGATCCTGGATAACACTGAGGAAACTCGCACATACCTGGAGAAGATAGAAAATATTCTCACCCTGGGATCACTTTGAAATTGTCTAAACTACAGTGTAGACACATATAAAAATAAACTGATCATAGAAGCATAAACAGTGGTAATTTGCCATATAGCACCGTCAGTAACTTACAAAACATACAACTGTCTTAGCAATTTAAAATAAATTGTATTCTATCAGCTCACCTCAGCAAATTCCTGAAATTGCACAATTTCCTGCAATAAATATTCAACTCCTACTTAGACTTCATGGTTACCTGTGATACAGACAGCGACACAAGGATAGAAGCACTGACTGCTAATATCCTGATGTTTTTAGAGTATTTTTCTCTTTGAAGTCCAAGCAAGCCAAGGTAATTCTTGTGAAAACAAGGTCAATTCTACAGCATGATTTACAATAGAGATCGACTTGTTTTGGTATATTTGAGGATAATCCTTCCACAGGTGCTGAAATATTCTTGATTGAAATATTATTGACATGTCAATTAGACATTCAAAAGTGCATGTATCCACACAAATTAAAATATCTCAGGTTACAATCTGATGCATGGCAATTGTACATTAATTGTATTTATTTGCATGTAGGTGGTGAACATTAATGGAAAATTTACATGCTCTTTTAAATAAAAACAGAATCAAGCTTTGATTGTTTACTTAGAGATCTATGCCTGCCACGTGTATTTATGTAAAGAAATACTTATGAAATTCTGTAAAGATTGACTCCAGTTTTATCCTTCAATATTTAATTTTTCAAGATTACCATGTAACCATGAATTTGTTTCTCATTCTGTTTGGGTCAGTATTCAGCATGTAATTTTTTTTAATGAATCTGGCATTGTTGAAGATAATTTTTGTTGCAAGTGGCCACCTCGTTTGAAAATCCATAACAAATGTCAGAAAGGAAATTTCATCCAGACTTCCCAAACGCATAATTAGGCCAAATACTATGTTTAAAATGGAGCAAGCAAAATAAGACTGCTTCTTATTTTCTGTCATAGTAATATCAGCCACTACATGGAGATCTCTTACAGTGATAGAGTCATAGAGATGTACAGCACAGAAACAGACCCTTTAGTCCAACTCATCCATGCTGACCAGATATCCTAAATTAATCTAGTCCCATTTGTCAGCATTTGGCCCATATCACTCTAAATCCTTCCTATTCATGTACCCACCCAGATACCTTTTAAATGTTGTAATTGTACCAGCGTCCACCACTTCCTCTGTCAGCTCATTCCATAAGCAAACCACACTCTGCATGAAAAAATTGCCCCTCAGGTTCCTTTTAAATCTTTCCCATCTCACCTTAAATATATGCCCTCTAGTTTTGAACTCCCATGCCCTGGGAAAAAGACCTTAGCTATTCCTCTCATGATTTTATAAATTCTACTAGGTCACCCCTCAGCCTCCGATGCTCCAGGGAAGATAGCCCCAACCTATTCAGCCTCACTCTATAGCTCAGAGTCCTAAACACCAGCAACATCCTTATAAATCCTTTCTGCACTCTTTCAATTTTAACAATATCCTTCCTGTAGGAGGGATGGATTCTTGTTTGACAATGGATTGAAATCTTATGGGGGTAGGCAGGAATGTGGATTTGAGGTTACAATCAGAACAGATGTGATCTGACTGAATGGCAGAGCAGGCACAAGGGGCTGAATGGCCTCCTCCTGTCCTAATTTGTATGTTTGAATTCTTTTCCCAATGACAGACATTAGACTAACAGGTCTCTGATTCCCTGCTTTCTGTCTGTCCTTTTCATGAATCGTGATGTTGCATGAATGATGTTCCAATCCAGTGGGATATTTCTAGAATCTAGTGGATTTTGGAAAGTCACTATTAATATATTTACTTTTTCATCAGCTACTTCTGTTAACATCTGAGAATGAAAACCGTCAGACACATGGTATCTTTCTGCCTTTGACTCTAATAGTTTTCTCAGTATCTTTTCTCCAGTGACTGTCTTAAGTTCCAGTCTTCCTTTTACATCTTGATTTTCAAGTATTCTTGTTTTATTTAATGTTGTACAGTGAAGACATAAATAAAATGCCTGTACAATATTTCCACCATTTCCTTGTTTTTCATGATTCATTCCTTGGTCTCAGTCTCCAAAGCAACAAAGCTCCCATTAGTTGCTCTAGTCATTTTAAATAAAACTTGTATGAACCCAAATCTGTTTTTAGATTTCAAGTTTCCCTTCTCTGATATTGTAATTTGTTGCTCCTTGTTTTTTCTGTAGTTCTTTGCTGATTTCAAAATCTTGTCCAATTGTCTGACTTACCAATAATCTTTGCAATGTTGTATTTTTTTCTGTGAATTTGTTACTATTTTAAACTTTCTTAGTTAGCTACAGAGGGCAGCTCCTTCTCAGTGTTGCTTCTTCTCAGTAGAGTATATCTTTTCTGAGAGTTATGAAACACTTTAAATATCTGCTAGTGTTTCTCTACTGTCTTACCTTTGAATCTATTTTCCAAGTTCACTTGAATCGACTGTATCCTCATGCCCCAGCAATTGCCTTTATTAAGTTGAAGACACTAGTCTTTCATCCACATTTCTCACTTTTCTCTACCTCAAGCTGAATGTGAATTCTAATTATATTACGATCACTGTTGCCTAGACATTCCTTTGCTGTGAGGTCATTAATTAAACCTGTCTCACTGCGCAATACCAGCTCTAGAATAGCCTGATCTAAGAAATTACCCTGAAAACACTCTTTGAACTCATCTTCTAGGCTACCTTTGCTAATCTGATTCTTCCAAACTGTGTATTAAAATATTAGCCATGAATATTGATATGTATTTCTTATGAGCCCATTATTTCTTAATGTATAGCCAATCAAACAGCATCATTACTGTAAGGAGGCCTATAAACAATCTCACACATGATTTCTTACCTTTGTTATTTCTTATCTCCACCCAAAACTGATTTTAAATCTTTATCTTTAGAACTAAGAGTATCTCTCACTCTTGTACTTAGGTACTCCTTAATTCACAAAGTTATCCTACTAGCTTTCAGTAGCTTCCTATAATTCCAAAAGTCTCTTCAATATTCAGGTTCCAGCCTTGGCCACTTTGCAGCTTTGTCACTGTACTGGCTATCAGTTCGTGTATATTAGTTTCCAGTTGAGCTGACAATTCACCTGCTTTATTATAAATGCTGCAGGCAATAAGAGATGGACTCCTTACTTTTCTCCTTTTAAAATGTTTGCAAATTCCAGCATTAATTGCATGCACACTCCTAAACGTATCCCTTCCTTCCATGCTCTGATTCTCTTCACCTTTATTGATCTCTTGCCTTTTTGCCTTGTCCTTTCCCTTCCTTTAAATGATTTCTCAGCTCGACTTTTTAGTTTAAAGCCTTCACTCTCACATTAGTTCTATGGATCAGCAGAAGATTAGTCCCTGCACGGCTCAGGTAAAAAACCTGTACACTTGTAAGAGTGTGAGTGTGAGTGAGAGAGAGAGAGAGTTTGTGTGTGTTGGATCCCAGTGACATTTAGTGATTGAGTATGTGTGGAATCTTACACCCCAATGAGAGTCAATGTGTGTGTGGGACCCAATACCCCAGTGAGAGTCAGTGTGTGTGTGAGACCCCGTACCCCAGTGACAGTCAGTGTGTGTGGGACCATACCCCAGTGAGAGTCAGTGCATGCGGGAGCTGTACTCCAGCAAGAGTCAGTGTGTGTGCATGTATGTGTGTGTGGGACCCCATACCCCAGTGAGAGTCGGTGTGTGTAGAGGCTGTGTACCCCAGTGATAACCAGCACCTTCTGGAAGATGTAAAGTGACTAGAATGTGAGATGTTAAGATGTTAAGTTAATGATTCATGTCAAATGTATCAATGGTAGGAGATATAACATTTTTACGTTAAGTATCAAGCTGTCTTTAACCTACACATATTATTTCCGACATGTGTCTATAAACAATATAATAGTTTGATTAAAGTTGCCACATGGTCAACAATGTGGAGTGGAAAATGGTAACTGTGTTTGCATCACACTTTGAACTTAGTTAACCCACCAGGGTTCAAAGCTTGATACTGAATCAAAAATGGGCATATTGTTGCAGGTGACCAGAGCTTGATCAAACAGGTAGGTTTTAGGGCATGACATAAAGTGTCACTGGGAAATGTAAAGGATTCAACATTCTAAACTAACAGTTCATTTTGTGTACTCATAAATCTGCTGAAT